GAGGTTTTGGAAATTTTCCGGCGAAACTTCCGGCAAGGATTGTGGCTATCTCCGGCGACCTCACACCAATATGACAGCACTACTTCACTCTCTACACTCTCAGCTATCCTTTGGAAGAAGAACGGTGAAGAATGGTGAGAAATTGGAGAGTTTATATAAGAAGGAGGAAGGGGAAGAAGCCATGGGAGATGACCTCCCTAACACTATTTTGGCGTCTCAGTGGAGGGGGCTGCGGCTCCGACAGATTTTATACGTAAGTCCCTGATTGGGACTAATTTGGTCCCAGTCAGGGAACACTTTTTGGTCCAACTTTCTCCGAATTGAAATCCGATTAAACCGTTGGAATCGGACAGTCAAACTCTACATAATGATAAAATTTTTATTATTTACTGACCAACTTTATAATTCACATATTTTTGGGTCCTTCTCAGTAATTAATTAATTATTAATTAATTAATTCTGATAGGCCTATTTTTCGGGGCGTTACATGATCTATGAACCTTAGAGAACATCTCTATATAGTTTAATTGAAGTTCGGTGACTAAAAATGGTTTTCCCGAAAAATGGACCGAGGTTGAAGACGAATGAACAGTGGCTGAAAATCCACAGAGTGGATCGATCCCCTTCATTGGATCGATCCTCTGGGAGTTTTTCTTCTAGTTGGATCGATCTAGAGGGCTGGATCGATCTTCCGAAACTCTGGTCCGAAAATTTGTCTGAAATTGCTATTTTTGAGCTCTAAAATCGTATTTTTGATACCAATTGATTATGATTATTATAAAAATTATTTTTAACAACAAAAATGATGTTTTTAACAAATTAAAACATTATGTGATGCATGACAGTATGTTCGGGTGTTAACACTCGAGACTAGGCCGCTAATTGTTATTAAATGTTATGTTGAATGATCATTATGATAAACTATTATTGTGGCCAATTATGAATGATTAACCTACTGATTAGTATGATTATTGATTAAATCATGATTAAAAATGGATATAACGATTATGAAAAAAATGATGTATATTGTTAAGGATATCTAAAAGAACTTTAAGATATACCCACTTGTATAATGATGATGATTATTAAGGATATCTAGAAGAACTCTAAGATATACCTCCTTGACCAATTCATATTTCGGGGTTAAAACGTACAAACAGGATCCAGACCGGATATCACCCACCCGACAGTTCACTGTACGGTTGGTACGTAATCCACATGACTCATAGGGTGGATTATCGATTCTTGTGTTCTGCATTAAACTATTTATAGTTTAAGGGTCTGGTTATAAATGTTGCCTTAGACTAAGAATAGTTAAGAGTTGTTATGAAATGATTTGACCTTAGATTAAGAATAATTTAAGAGCATTGTTGAGATATTGAATATCAAATGACTTGGAATAAAATATTGAGAATATCATGAATGTTTGAATTATATATTGTGTGCATGATATCAAATGGTTCATTATGAATCGAGATTCAACTTATGTGGATGTTCGACGCTTTAGATATGCTTACTCAGGTTCACCGCTTAGCGTGTAGTGTGTTTTATTTGCTACACGCAGGTACGCAGAATGAATGATTGGCTGATTCCTGGCAGCAGAAGGGGGCGAGACAGTCGTGGTAGATTATAGAATGAAATAAATAATTATGTTGTTATGAGACATATTTTAAAGTCGCTTCCGCATTTTATTTAAACACTCCGTATTTCTCTACAATTATGTATGGAATATTATTTATAAATAAAAATGTTTGAAATATTTTAAATTATCACGATTACCAAATCAATACTTTAGTCCGAAAGGGGCTGCGGACCTGGACGGATTAGGGTGTTACAAATCATGTGATTAATATCCATGTATTATTAATCTTAGTGGGCAGCACTCATTGACCAGGAAAAGGAGTTTAAAAGGCTGGGATTTTTGGCTCAATATGGATCATTAATTCCTGCCATCTGAGAAGGGAATCAAGGAAAGTTGTAACTTTGACAATTAAGGATAATATGACAAAGTTTGCACTATTTAATAAATGGTTTTGATTCCTTGATGTTTTTATCTCTATCCTTGGTAAATGGGGTTGTGTTTATGGATATTTGGACTGGGAAATTCGGCCATATGCTGAAGGGTATGAAGGGGATTGGTTTTTGAACAACATGACAAAATCAGCACTATTCAATCAAGGAAAACTTTTTCCTGATTTTGTTTTTGTTTTGTGGGTTGAATTTTGTCTTGATTAAAACATAATGTGGAAACAATACGCAAGGTTTTATTTTAATTAATAGGAACAAAAGAAGTAGAAACAATACGCAAGGTTTGTCCTTCTGATCTTATTTTTGTTCAGGGCTAAAAAAAAGGAGAAAAAGGACTTTATTTTGTTCATCAAATGAAAATAAAAGATTTTGGGATATTATGGGAAGGATATGGAATGGTTTAATATCAAGAAAGGCTTTGGAAGAGAAGGGTTATGGTTTGGGTTTTAGGATACGAAAGGTTAATGAGTTCAGCCCAAAAAGGATCATAACACTTAGAGTTTAACCCTTTGATTTGTTTTATGGTTTGTGGCGTAGCCTTCATGCTTGTAAGAGCATCCCGAGGTACATCATCCTCCCCTTCTTCAAGAGAGTTTGACCTCAAACTCAGAATATCTTCGGGTTCAAAGTACGGGCTGAGATCCGTGACATTGAACGTGGCTGAAACTCTGTAGTCTCCAGGTAGGTCTATCTTGTATGCGTTGTCGTTGACCTTAGCTAAAACTTCGAACGGACCATCTCCTCGGGGCAGTAGTTTTGAGTTGCGTTT